ACGTGTACGCCTTCGAATTGCATGCGACGATCCTGAGGAAATCACCGACTTCGCTCTGCCCATCCAGTCCTGTTTGCCCCCACAGACTCATGGGGGCGCTGATTACCTTTAATGCCAGACTTTCCGAAACATAGGCCAAAGTCTTCACTGAAACATTCCTTTGATTCTCTCAACACGAAAACCACACGTCTATATGAGGGTTAAGCGCCGGGCTCTGGGGACAGAATAAGTCTAATTTCGTTCACGAGGATAAACTTATCCCATAAACAAAAATCTTAGATCGAGAAGGGCCAGATCTTCCAGATTTTGACCGAAACTTCCATGAAAAAAATTCATGATCAAAGTAAGGCCTAGATTTCGAAAAGTAAGGCAGTGAAAGATAAATAGTGCCGCTTATCTGCCGATGCTTTCGAATCAAATGGAAAACAGGGAGAACGGACCATTGTCGCTTCCCTCTCCCATCCGTTCAAACACTTCCCACTGTCATGCACTTTTCTATTGAGTAAAATAAACTCAAACCATATCGCACCAAATACGGCCCGATGGCAATTCGATTCGGTACATGTATCACCTACAACCAGAGACAGTCCAAACGGGATTAATACAGCATGTTCGACTCCCTATCTGTTACAACTGCCAGAGGCCGAGTATTTGTTGCTGCACATATGCTTACTTTATTTTTGTTATATTTACATATTTTGTTTACATTTCCCAACAACACTGCATCATCTTATTTACCACTCTGATCCTCTGCTCAATACTGCCTCCAGTTCTGCCATACCAACATCAACATACAGTCGCAGCAAAAAAACTTGGAACAAGCCTGAGTCGGGCGCTTTTTGATAGTTTTACATACAATTTTCAAATTGCACATAAAAACTTTGTTCACTCAAATCGTGTACGCCTTTAAATGCTATTTCAAAAAATAAAATTGATTAGATTCGCTACCGGGACAGAATTTTGAAGATTATTGCGATGCGGCATGCCGCTGCCACTCTGATATTGGACCCGGTTTTCAAAGTTTCTAATGCTTGGGAACAATATAGGTTTTTCGAGAGTTGTAAAAAAGAAATGGAAGAAGGGAGCGAACACTCAGACAGGTGTGATTTTCTTCCGATGGATCGCAAAGCATTAGAAACTTTGAAAACCGGTCCAATATCAGAGTGGCAGCGGCATGCCGCATCACAATGATCTTCAAAATTTTGTTCCGGTAACGTACAACTTCACTTTTTTGAATTGCATTTTAAGGCGTACTTGATTCGAGCAAGTTTCGCGTTTTCATGTAAAATTTGAAAATTGCATGTAAGACCAATTAAAAAGCGCGCGACTTGGCTCGTTCGCTTCCGAGTTTTTTTTTTTTTCAGCTGCCTGTACGTTGTGTTGGGTTTGAACCTTGCTCCATTCGCAGACACTCGACATTGACCTCATTGAGAGATAAGAAATTACAGATGTGACATTTCTAATGCTTTCGTAGAAAACCCATCGGCAACGGGTGGCTGCCAAAAGAGCATTGTCGAAAAAGGCCCACAGCTGGCACGGTTTCTCCAGCTGTCTGCTTCTTTTTCAGAAGCTTGACATTATAGCGCTGTAAAATGGCATATGGGCCCGGGATGTCCAAGGCCAATTTCGTTAGAATGACTACTACAATGAATTTTAGACTAGATCTATGCTCTGCATTTATGAAGCAGGAACAAATCATTTCCGCAGATCCGACACTTCGATAGACACGATGAGCTCATCGGACCCTACACCGCAGATTCCGCCGTAAAACTTCCTACAATCGTTCCGAAGAATTCTCGGTTCAAAGCATTCTGGCACTCCCGTAAAGCAGGGGCAAGGTCAACCGCAGGCTTGGCTCGAGACCAAGAGAACGACAATTATAATGGGAGATTAATATAAGATAGATGCAGGCAGAAGATGAAAACAAGTTTCAGGCAGGATCAGGTTGTACTGAAAGTCAACAATGGCTCGTTGTCAACTACTCACTTTAAAAAAATCTTCCGAGAAGTAATTGAAGAGAAGCGTCGCTATCTTGCTCTTGGCTCCATCATTGATCAACTCATACTGACCTGGATTTTATCATTATGCTCGGCCAGTTTTTTCTTCACCATTCGCGCTACTTCCAGCTGCATTTTATGATTCTTCTCAGGACGAATTTGGCCTATGGACAAGATTCGCAGTACGTTGTCCTCGGCGAACCTGAAATAAGGTTCAGCAATTAGACTAGCTGCGCAAAAGACTCGAATTTGTACATACCCTTGGAACTTTCAACTCAGCGGATAAGAAAAAGAATATAACAGAATCAAAAACTATTGGAGCCGGGAATTTATGCCACTCCTTAGGGACGAATTGCGACGTCGAAAGACGCCTTTGTAGTGAGACCGGTACATATCAGACCCATTTGTTCGCTTGAACCTCGATCTGCTTTCAAAAGTTGGCAAAGGATTGCTTTGACAGAGATAACGAAAGCATTTTTCTCACGCACGTCTGACAAGCAAAGAGGTCATGGGATCGGATCTCTGCTGGGCTTAATTTTTTGCCCTTCTTGTAGGAACATGGCAAAAAGTGGTTGTGACGTCATCCCGAAGTCACAGCTCACACTGACTAGCCTGAAGAGTTTGCGTACGTCAATTACTAATGCGCCTTGTGACTAGACGAAGACCCGGGTGTACAGGTGGGGCACGTTACAAGCGTTTTTGCGCTAAGCAAGTGTTCTACTCGAGTTCAAGATTCAAACTGCCCTCGAACACGAGCCTCTGTCGAATCTGACATTCTGATCTGACTTCGGCAAATGGAGCCCATAAGGGATAGCATACCCGAAAACCACGCGCGAATTCGGGTGGCGCCGAATTGTGGGTCCAGACTGTTGCCCACCAAGCATGGTAACTTTCGGATCGCGTATAGGGGCGTTGAAGAGCAGTCATCAAAATGGCAAAACGTCTTTCAAAATTGATATATGCTATTTGTCTAATGGTAATTGTATAACGCATATGAGGGAATTCACCAGTTTCCCGCGCACATCTACTATTATCACTACTTCGTATTGATTTTCTTTCACAGAAGGAACTCATCCACCACAAAGCGGGTGAGCGGCAGCTTAATTTTTCTCGTAAGAACAATTGTCAGTAAATTTTCTTCACTTTTACTCAGCTCAATATCACATAGTAGTCTTCATGGAACAAGCACTTCTTAAAGTACTGATATTCGATGTTAGGTAGTATAAGACACCCAAATAACCTCCGAATATTCCGCTGCTAACAAATTTCGTTTGCTCGAATAGCATAGGTACCATATGATAACTGACCTTGCTTCGGCTATTTGCTCGAGTGCGAGAAAGGCCGCTACATCACATGGAGGAAAAACAACCTTCGCATCTTGGCAACGCCATAAACGTCTGATATGGCCACCAGTCCAGCTGAAAACACAGTGCAATACATATAAAACTGGGAACGAAAACAATCCATAAAGGACTAATGATTGTTTGCGGAATATTGGCCTTCCCATATCACCACACTAAGTCTTAATTAGCACACGTTCAACTCCCACTAACCCCTTCATTCTGCAGGTCATACCTAACACATAAGGGGCCCATGAGGGCTCCAGGGTGGACAGGTCAGTAATGGTAACAAGTCATTGCCCCACAAATCGAAGCACAAGTAAAACTTTCACGAATTTTTCCGATTAGTGAGCGACTCTCACTAAGTTTACCAGGAATAGAACAGCAGACAAAATTGTAAACAGTTGCCACACAAAACATTGTGTTCTCATGGAAATTAGAAGGTTCGTCATTGTTCCATTACTACTACTGCTCCTAAAGTTCAAAGAAATTTTTTAACTCTCTGTCTAATTCTTTGTTTAACTCTAATTTTGTGACTTCTCCCGCAGAGGTAATCCAGTACCCTTTTCATGAATATGATATTAAATTTGTCGCTGGCGCCATGTGGTGCCACCAACCTGGCTGAAATCGATGAGAACTTGTAAAAGTGAGTCATTTGACATCTTGACTACGAATATCACGTTATTTTCTAACACTGATACCAGTGTAGGGCTTTTGTAGCTGCCACCGATGCAGGGCACTGCTAAGCCTCACGGGAAGGGAATCACTCCTCCTCCCAGACTCAGCCCAAGCACATCGCCCAACTAACTGGGTCGAAAAATGAACGTTATTTTCGTAACTAGGATATCAATCGACCCTATTACAAAAAACGATGTCACATCCGTGATCAGAATGTCAAATAACCCTCGTTTATAAATTTTTATCCATTTTAGTGGAAAAAGATGGTGACGCCAAGTGGCGTCAGCGCCAAAAAAAGAATGTCACATTTGTGAGCAGCGAACAAAGAAAACATATTATACCTACGACAGCTACAAGATATCTTGATATACCTCTGGTCAAGCATCAAATATTATGCAGGAGATGAACTATAAAAAATATATGCGTTTATGATAACGATAGGTCATATCTCGATGACCGTGCGTTGACCAGGTTATATATGTAATTATGCGAGTAGGGCTGAATGCATGGGGAATACTGTGAATTTCTCAAAAACGATTTGTTCTCGTATGGAGAAGGAGAAGCAAGGGTTGTTCCGTACACCGTTAAATGGCATTGATCAAATACGACCCTTCGATGAAGTAGTGACCTGACGGTATTCATGTGAGCTCCAAGGTTGTGAGTTTAGCATCAATTGATTATATATTGTTCGAGAGAGGCTTTCATGACCCTTTTTGCCATCTTCAGGAATGTCCGACAAAGTGATTCTTCGATTTTCTTGAAGTTATACAAAGCTTATGTTGTCCCCATACTTGAATATGGTTCGCAAATATGGAGTCCTCACACCAGGAAACTTCAGGCAAAAATCGAAAAGGTCCAGCAAACTTTTACCAGAGTTTTGATGTACCGGTGTTATCCCAACCCTGCATACCCAGGCAGCTTACCCAGTTACAGGGAACGCCTGCAACTTTTCAATCTAAAGTCGTTAAAGTATAGAAGAGTATTAGAAGAGTGTTAATGATTATTGTGTATCTGTTTTAGCGGTATTGAAGGAGAGTAGTGAAAACCCAGAAGTATGAGATAATGAGCGACAATGGTCCGCATCTCTTCGGCTTTGTCCTTGCAATGTCGTAATTACACAGAAAGGCATCGACAGGGTTTTCAATCATTATTTTTTCCGCGGAGCGAGACTGTCAGTCCTGCATCAGACTTGCAGAGGGAGCCTTAAGCCCTATGCGTTCAGAGTAGAGGCTAAGAAAGGTCCGATTTATTGATTTGTTAAGGATGCAGGATTTTTTAGATGGTTTAGTCCGGAGTGGTTCATGCATCATGTTGATATTTGTGTGCTGTATTGTATCTGTTTTTTTTACTGTTTTGTTCATCTCTGACTATTGACAATTTGGACTGGTTGCATTTTGTAAACTATTGTTTTATTACATGTATGCGACAATGCGATTGCATTATAATAAATAATAATAAATAAAATATTAATATTAACAGAATTGGAAGCAAAATTTTATCGAGTTTTCGGATAGTAATGTTGAAACAGAGTGACGGATGCCACAGCTTAAAGTGAGAAGTAATTCTCATCTGTTATTTCAATTGATCACTTGAACGTGCTCACCTATTCTTCATTTTACATCACACACCGCCGCGTGTCGGGTAATTGAGATTTACGAACTCAAAACTGTATAGGATTTGTACCGTTCTGAGCAATTCGTGAGAAGTACCTTGCTTCACAGACAATCTCAGATCTGCTTGACCACCGTGACATTAGAGAAGCAAAAAGCAGTAGATACAGACAGCTTTGCATGACTGAGGAGATTGTTACTGCCCAAATAATAGTCGGATTATAGTAATGCTCGCTCTCGTCTCGACACCGAATAAAACACGAAACAAAAACCTACACCAAACCCCTCAGAACATGTACGTAAACAACATTTCGTTCTGTATGCAATTTACTTACGTTGTTTTTGATAGTGGCCTTACATAATTCCTACGACTCGGTTACTTCCTGTGGCGAACAATAAAGGGACTCACCATGAAATTGTTGGATAATGGACATATGCAGCGACGCGGCTTCCCGCTATCCACCTTAACTAAATTCATTGAAATTTATCACAAACACTTATCATTCTGATATGAAACTCAATAGACATGAGTTTTTTTCACAAGAGAGAGTAGAGGACTGCACTCACTCGTAACCACATCATGAAAAAGATTAAAGAAATATCTGAAAGCGGCCGTCTGAGCATCAAAGGATGCGAAACACTTGGTAACCGCGGGCAGATATTTCAAGAGGTTGGGCTAGGGCTCTGGATGTGGGACAACGCATTAATGGAAACATTAGAGCGCGAGGTCATAGAATGTTACGTAGGAAAAACAGCACAAACGGGAGCAGAAAACTGATGGAGTTCAAAAAACCAAAATTAAATGTTTGGCAGATCCTACCAAGTATCTCTGCAAAATACCATGATCTCTGCGTGTGATCGTGACCTATAGAGATAAAATTGTGGCACGATAAATCTCAAAGACGTATAGGATTAATTTGCCTAGTGGACAGAATTCGGTGCCCCACTTTCTCTAAGAAAGGTACCCCCTAGCAAGCGGTCTGTTCAGCTGCAACATACCGACCAGACGCCCACCCGCAAATACCCGATGGATCTGCTGCACGTAATGCTTCATTTGCGGAATACAATATGGTGCGAGGGGATTGATATGAAGCGGCCGCTGCTGCATAGACATATTAGTGCATACATGCAGACGTATCTACCGTAGGTTGCTGGCACGATGAAAACGGGGAACTCGTCCGAAATTGCTGAGTCGTGTGGAAGATAGGCTTTTTTTCGCAGATTTTCGACCATTTACTCCACTGTGTAGGACCCTGCTACCATTTTCAGACCGAAGAGCGGACTATCGTGCCTTGAGCCTTCGAGATAATATTGCAAAGTAACAGTAGAAAAATAAGCAGCCAATTATCATAAACACGTCCAACGAATGACAAGGAGAAAAACCACTGACCTAAATAAGGGTAGGGTCAGCGCATATCCCATGCTATCAATGAAGACTTCAGGATTAAGCTTGAGTAAAGCTTCGAGACCCAAAACAAATCCAGCCAGCGTTTGCAGTAAAAGTGTGAAACGAGGATATAAGTCTGCTTCCACTAATCGACGAAGTCTGAAACAAAATAAGTCAGTGCGATGATCCGTTTTTCAATAGGAAATTAGGCCAGAAGAAAGAAAATCGTAAGAGACCCAAAATCCCAAATAAACTCCAATATGACAAAGATTACCGTAAGAAAACAAAATGGACATTCTTCGGGTCCACAGTGATTCCAAATCGTTGTTTTGCTTTCAAGAGAATCTGCTCCTTTGTGGCATCATAATCTCCAGAATAGACAACAAATTGAAGATTCGGCCAACTAAAAGCCAACACATTTAGAGTCGTCACGTTCTATATCCAGACGTTCTATATCCAGACATTTTATAATAGTGCGTCGTACGCTGGGAATCCCTAGCGGGGAGGGGGGGGGGGAGGGGCGGTCGTATTTGGTCCCTGGCTGAAGAGGAGGGTCGTACCAGCTCGTTTCTGAGGAGAGAGAAGGTCGTATTTACCTTTGAG